GTTCAGCTTTTTCATTCCGGTTCAGAAGAACAACTGTAAGGGTCGACCGCGATTGGAGAATCTTCTATAAAGGTCTAGTGTGCTTTGTCTTTCGACATACTCTCTATCTGGTTGTATTGCTGTTTTTGGCAAGGTTGTTTTCGTTGTCGTCGTTGTCGTCATTGGAGTGATGTTATTGTTACTGCTGTTATGTTTTATTATCTGTATCTTTGGTCCTACCTTGATATGTTAAAACGTGTTACAGGCGTTTACAACCAGTTCTCTCAAATTTGCTCCCCGCAAGAATTCAATTAACATGATGCTAACATAGCCGTATCTGCTAAAAACTTACATTATGATAAATGGCATGCACATGTACGCATGTAGCAAGTGAAGTGTGCCACTTAAGAGAATTGCGCATCATTTAACTGACTCAACCTGGATTTGTGGGTGTTTGTTTAATTTAGCGTATCTGCCATTGCTCCTATTTCAGAGATAGATTTCTAGACTCGTAGAGTATCTTGGCTGTATATAACTAAACAGGTATAAAACTTCACAGAGTCTCAAATCATTTAAAGACTTATAAAGGCTTAACTCTAGGTATCTAAACACGCTTACGCTTAGAGTCTTGGTTCGGGGACTAAAAATTCTATTGGCACTATAGCCCAAGAGTACTAGCCATAATACAGGCACGTAGCTTTTTACAATCAAAGACGTCTTAGAATGACACGTGTCTGAGACTTATCAAAATGGGAACCGAATTAATATGCTAATATATAATGACAATAAACGTCATTTAATAATTATCCTTTAATCTGTATACCTGATCTAGGGTTTCTAGTACTGCTCCTAAAAGTGTTACTGTGAGGAAAACTACGTCCCTAAAATATCTATTACGATTGATACCATCTGACCAAAATCGATTTGATACGGTTTTACCGCTTAGCATCATGAGTACAATGATACGCCTATCAGTATCACTGATCTCTTTTTGTGTGGATCACTGGACAACCATACCGGTATATAATGACCGATTATGTGACCCGATTACACTCGATCACCGTTCTTTCCAACTTTCGCTTTGCAGCTCGTTGTCTGCCGGCAATCGCCATTTCATCAAATACGATCAGATAATTAGAAGTAGGGTAGGTATATCGTATTAGTATTATATCATTAGAAATAGATGGGGCATAAAAGATTGTAATCAAAACGTCATATTTTGACTGGTCGAAACAAATTGCAGGTACAATGATCCACCCGTGACCAGTACGTTATAACCTTGCCCTTTCCCATATTACCCATACACGCTCTCTACTGATTGTATAGTTACAATTTGCCATATAGCATCTCTGGTCTTATTTTTGCACCCTATTTTTAAAGAAGTTCTCATTTCCCGTTAGGGATCACACCTAACGGGGCCTTGTATAATGGATCTCGTGATTGAGGTCACAAAACAAACAAACGAAGCGTGTGCACTAAGACGAATAATTGCATGTTTATATCGTGTCGTTACTGGTGGTCGTATGGAGGTGAAGCGTGGTCATATCTGAAACCAGATTCATGAGTCTACCAGCTACGTGTACGTATACACATTGTGTATAATACTACTGCTCTCTTACGCTTCAATACTATGTGTATAAATATACAACTGTATTGCAACTGTTATGTATGCCTTTTCGTGCTCTTGAATTGTCCCCTATGGTTCTCTAATGTATCCTTTATAAGCAGCAGACGCCGCTACTATGTTCTATGCTGTATCCTTCGTCAAACGTTATCAAAATTCACGATTAGGACGTGCAATAGTTATTTTGTAATCATAACGCATAAAATGCGTCATTGTGGTCAACTTGGGTAGCTCTTGCATCAGGTAGCGTTGACGAACGCACACCTTCAAGATCTCTGTGATCACGGATTGAACGATTAAGAGACATGTGCAGGTGTGCGAAGATAACCATACAAACCTATTGCGTATTTTTCGATGGTTCGCACTCAATTTATGGCTGAAAGGTTGTTGTATCAAAAGTGCAGGCACAGCGTAAATGTGAACGTATCAGCGGTATGGTGTGAGACCCTGCAGGCCTTGTTGTGTGAATCTCGGAATGGACTGCCGACGCAGCAACACCATGTGGATTATAAACCGAACCAGAATAATGGGGATTTCTGTATGGGAGTTTTATATATATTGTAAACGACCAGATTATAGACACCTTTAGATTTTACATGAGTTGTTATGTGCCTGTGGAATAAATGCCTCATGAAGGAGTTTCGCTTATCGTGTGCATAAGTAGAAGCATAATCAGAATATTGAATAATTCGAATTCAAAATTTAATTTTTGTTATAAGGATGTGGATATCGGGGTTTACAGGAAGGGTGCGAAATGAAAGAAATAGGGTTTGAACATATGAAGGGGCAGTTCAACATCCAGCCCCTCGCAATAACTTTTCACCCCCTCACACTAACGATGCCCTGATTGACCAATAAAAATAAATGCAGCGAAAATTTCTTATGATTTTGTTAAGCATAAAGTATATTGCCGTCATCTTTGAATATGCTTGTACTAGGTTTCACGAAGAAAACTCCCCACTTGGTCAACGGACTGATGCACGGGCTTTTGTGGGATTGCCCGTCATGAAGCACAACGTCTTGAACTAGCAGGATGATAAAGTGGTAAGTAAAAAGGTTGCTCAATGGTATGAGAGAGCTGTTATTATCAGACATCTTATCAAAGACAAGTAGCTAATACACCGTTGTCCCTCTCTCTCAAACTAGCGCATAAAAATGACACCAATTGAAACTCACGGGTACATGTCATTTGGTGCAGTAGGTGCTCTATAAAATTGATATCACATCCACCACTTCGATAACGTCAATTGATTCTATATCTGCATTGACAACGGTGTGACATGTACGAGCATTGTGCTAGGTGAGTTAGTTAAAAGATACCTGCTGTAGCTGGAATCGTGCTCGTTTAATTTCTTGTCTGACCTATCAGGGATTAAGCGGTTGATACATCTCACCTTATCGATCAATCACGGATTAAAATGTTCGTTTCATTTCTTATTTATTCACCAATCAGAGCATCGTAAGTATGAGGGTGTAGATGCTTCTTGCGAGAGGGTGGATGCTTAACGCCTCCCATGCGTCAATTCCCTTTGTATTTCACATTATTTGGTACGACATTTATTTTCTCATGATTCGATCGACCGCATTGTGTCATCGATATTTTTACCCGTACGATCCTGTCGAAAGTTATAAACAGGGTATGAGCAAGAATTTACAGCGTATACCGCATTAGTTGATGATGACGTGCGTACCAAAGTGCAACATGCCACAAGACGCTAGCTAATCTATGGCACAACTTGCATGGCAAGGTATGTATGTGTGCACAGCACTACATGCAAATCGGTGCCTCATAGATTTTGCCCAAAATCTATTGAATTTAAATTGTAATCACAGAAAAAGTTACAGCTCGAATCGATCGGTTGATGTTAGCAGGTGACACCATACTGCGTTCTCTATTGTGGCACGATTATCATTGAAACGGGTATACCAGTATTCCATTTGGTAAATAAAGCTGTGTTGGGCTGTCGCAATACCGTGATTCATGGTTTTGAAAAAAAACGATGGTGAAAACGAGAACGTTGTGGTGTGTTAAGAATAACCGATTATGCGGCGGTAGTATCGACATGTGCTCCACGTCGTACGCAAGTTGGATCACACCTCGCGCATCTATAGTCATATCATTGCATAAGCTTTTATGCTGTATCACACCTATCGCGAATGATCGTGATACTCAAGAAGGTGACATGTCATTCCTCCAGCTCTACACTTTGTAATCAGCATTATCGCTTAGCTGTTTATTTTGTAATCTTTGGCTAATTGTATTAAAGTGATTACCATGGCTCATCTGAGTGTTTCAGTTGCATAAAGTACGGATATCTCTTCTTCCAGAAGTGCTTTCCAGAAGATCGAACAAGTAAATGAATGGTGGCTAACCGAACGCATATGTGACATAGTTTGATAAGCTGAACTTACTTTCATCGTTACCATCAAAAAAAAAAAACTTTTTTTTCACCCCTCTTTTTATCCAAAAAACCATCTTTTTTTTTTTTTTTCCTTTCTTTTTTTTTTTTTTTTTTTGTTGTTTTTTCCCCCCCCCAAAGGGGGCTCTTTGAATGATGCGTGCGGCTTCCTATGAACATTACGTGAATGTGTAATACTAATAAATCAAGACATTAAGAGCTTCTACGATATGCCGGAGAGCACTGCTTTTCTTACGACCATCTCGTGTCCGTCGTACGTTGATTGGGCCTCACGAGAAACAGCTATTGTAGAACTACTTGCTGCAACGACAATGACGTATGCGTTCACACAAGCTTTATCTTGGAAAACACCGGGAAACAGCTCCACATGCACGTTTGTCACAAAGTAATGAGCCTGTTGCTGCTGCACGATCAGAAAGTGGACGTTTGGCATGTACAAATGAATTGTGGCAGTCAGGCTTCGGTGCAATAAACATGTTTTTGCTCAAGTATTGAATCGATTAGAATTTATGGTTATAGGATCCATAGCCTGTCCTAGAAACCTACAAAATTGTCAGCACATCATAATAGGTTAGTATAACAAATGCGCCCGTAGAGTATAATTGGCGAAATTCTTCGTCGCACAGATTGCCTGATACTGATCCCACAACATGCCCAGCTCATTACACCATAAAACATGCTGGATAAGAACGGTAGAGCACTTGAGGGTCCGTCAGCCAACAGTCGTTGCCGACTTCAACAAATTCAGGCCACCGAGCTGAGAGGGGATCAGTATGGCTGTATAATAAAGTATCGTGAATATAATCCAAGCGAGTAATGGAGCTTGACTCACCAGCAGGTTCTAAAGTCTGTCGGGCCAGCAGACCTAGAATCCAGGCGCCGTATTGGACATGGTCACGTCTTAAAGGTCCAGATTCAGACAGACTCAAGGTGAGCTATAGCACCGGACTTGGTGATCACAGGTAATGGTCGGCGATCTAGGCGCAGCTTCTGTTGTAAGTGAATAATTAAATGAATTTAAAAAAAAAAAATAAAAAAAAAAAAAAAAATTTTAGAAATTTTTTTTTTTTTTTATTAATTTTTAAAAAAAAAAAAGGAAAAAAAAAAAAAAAAATTTTTTTTTATAATAAAAAAAAAAAAAAAAAAAAAGGGGGGGGGGGGGGGAGGAAAAAGGGTTGGGTGAAAAAAAAAAAAATTTTTTTTTTTTTTTTAATTTTTTTTTTTTAAAAAAAAGAAGAAAAAAAGAAAAGGAAGAAAAAAAAAAAAAAAAAAAAAAATGATGGAAAAAAAAAGAAAGAGAAAGAGAGAAAGGAAAGAGAAAAGAAAGAAAAAAAAAAAAAAAAAAAAGAGAGGGGAGGGGGGGGGAAAAAAAAAAAAAAGAGAGAAAAAGGAGGGGAAGGAAAAAGAGAGGGAAAGGGAGAAAAGAAAAAAGAAAAAAAAAAAAAGAAAAAAAAAAAAAAAATAAAAAAAAAAAAAAAAAAAAAAAAAAAAAAAAAAAAGAAAAAAAAAAAAAAAAAAAAAAAAAAAGAGAAAAGAAGAGGGAAAAGGGAAGAGAGGAAAAAGGAAAAAAAAAAAAGGAAAAAGGGGGGTGGGGGGGAAGAGAAAAAAAAAAAAAAAAAAAAAAATGGAAGGAGGAAGGAAGAGAGAAGGAAAAAAAAAGGGAAAGGGAAAAAAAAGTGAATTTGAAGAGAAGGAGTGGAGGAAAAAAAAGAAAAAAAAAAAATAAAAGGAAAGAAATAAAAAAAAAAAAAAAAAAAAAAAAAAAATTTTAAAAATTTTTTATTATTTTTATTAATATTATTAGAGATAGAGGTAGAGAAAAATTTTATTTTTTATATTTAAAAAATAAAAAAAAAATGGGGGGGGGGGGGGGGGGGGGGGGAGGGGGGGGGGGAGAAAAAAAAATAAAAAAATTTTTATTTTACTTAATCAGCTTCAACCCGACAGGTAGACTTCATCGACCTATTATGTGTCATTGAGGTCCATTGACAAAGACCCAATTGTCATGATGCAAAGCGTTGCACACAACCTCGAAGTTCCCATTCATGCCGTCATACGACATGCATCATCGCTCGATCATTTGATCAACGGACAATGCCACGATGCCGACTTCAAGGACCTATTAAAGTCCTCGAGCATGCGAGCAACGCGTTCGTGTTGTTATTGTCGCAATGTCAATTTCCCGATGTAATAACACAATTATTGCGCTCATTCCAATGACGTGCAGCAATGACGTTATAGCTCAATGACGTGCAGCTCAGACCGGTTTGCAAACCACTGGTCACAACGTATCCCGCAGTTGGCCTACACCGTGAAATGCATTAAAGTGTCCAGTGGTAGCGTTTCCAAGGATGCTACGTGTGATGACGTACCCACTGGCAATGACCTGCACCAGACCACAGCGCTTTCGTGAAGCATTAAACCTATGGCACGTCGACGCCAATGTTACGGGTACTAGCGGGCACTCCAGCAGCCAGTTGTAGTGCTTGCAACAATGCCCGCACGATTTCAGACGTAGACCTTGCGATCCTCGGAGAATATTGTGTTGTGATTGACCCACCCCGCTGCAACCACCATGATAGCAGGATGGAGGAACTGACAGTACTTTATTACACTACAAACGCAGATCGTGCCCCTCCGCGCAATGGTCGAGGCCCGGCCACTATATAAGACACGGATTCATCGATGCACATACACAGCCGACTCACTCGCCTCGCTAGTGCTTCGATGTTTAAATACACAAGCGACCTTCCGCAACAGTTGCCGCCAACGCTCACGGGATTAGTAGCTCGCGACGGTGCAAGTTGATCTTGTACTCCCACGACTGTTGCTGTGCGTAACTCGATACATACAGCACGTACACAATCCCCCTGAAGTAGAGCTTCAGAGGAAAAAGTGGACTCGAATTGCTCTTTGGCTGTGCACTCGACTTGATAATCTGCAACTTGGCCAGATCCAAACTAACAATCAGCTTGGCGGTTGTGTTATCAAAGAGATGAAACGTCGTATCAGTAAGGACGCCCCAACGTGCCACTACCACCTTTCGCGACGGCGAGGCACTCGTGGGCGTCTTCCTCGGCGTGAATAGCGCTGGCGAAGTCAGCAATCCATTGCTCGACACTTGTTTCGACCAGAATGGAAACAACCGCTTCGCTCTGGATTTAACAGGCGGTCCCTGCAAAAACTGGCCCGATTTGCACGGCCACCGAGACGATATCGGCTTGATCGCCAGCTCCACCGTGCCCTTCACGAAGCGGTGGAGTCCCACAATCGACTCGTCCACTGGAAACTTCCACTTGGCCAATGGCGCTCTCGCCTTACTCTTGTGCTCCCACCCCGCCTCCATCGGGACAATCGCCTGTCCTAAGAACCGGAGTCTGCCTGTATTGTTCACGCCTATCAACGTCGCGACAATATCGCACTTGCTGGACAGCATCGGCACAAAGAACGTGTCGTCCCACGTGGGCGACTCCACGTTCGAGCAGCGCGTCGTGGAAAAGTGGAACATGAACGGCCCGAACGGTTTCTTGAGCACGCGGACGTTACAAAACACCGACACGACGTTGCGGAAGTCGCAGAGGAGCTCGAGGCCCGTGACCGCCGTGACCCGGAGCTCCACGGGGCGTCCTACAGCACTGAGACGCGTCGAGAGTCGCGTCCGCGACAAGAAACAGCGCACGAGGCGCTGCACGACGAGAGCGGCAGCGTGACGCTCTGCACGTCGCTCGAGAGGCTGCAGCTCTTCTTGCTGTGCGAGTCGACGAGCTTCGGTCCGGCGATGGACCACCTCGCCCCACGCCCGACGACTGCGCGCGTCAATGGGCGGTGTGCCGGGCATCTCGACGCGACTGCGCTCTTGCTCTGGTTCGTCCGGTACCATTGGATCAGGAACAGGACAAGCAACGAGGGTCTTGTGGTGGGTCCTGGCGTCGTCGTCTTCGCTTGGGCGGCGTGGGAGACGCAGCACACTCGACGACATCCAGCACTTGTGTCCAGGCCAGAGAGAGGACGAGGAGGACGATTGGAGTGCTGCTCGCGTCTTGGGCAAATTGAATTGTGGTGTGTGCCAGCTGTGAACGGAGACAGCGGACATGTTGGTTTCAGTATGGTCGTTGTCAAGAACTGTACTGATGTTTGGAGGTGGAGGCAGACGCGGAGAAATTGTATCACTAGAAGAAGCTAGAGTTCGGAGATGCGGTGGCAATTTAAAACGATATCGCAAAGTGCGTGGATGGACGTGTGGTTGGTTGGTAGTATCGCTTCCGTTAGGTTGTGTTGGTCTCTCTCTCTCTCTACACGAACCAGCGTAGGCTTCGTAAACTTAAAACGACAGCGAAATCAGCCGATACACGCGAGACGACATTCACGTGCGCACGACGACATTCGAACTCACGACGAGTCGATTGCCTCGACTAGAAGGAGATCCAGTAACGGCGGCACGTGCAGTGTTGACGAGAGCTCTTAACTTGATGTTAAATGCACTGGGCATTGAACGTTTTTAACGAGAGCAGCTGACACTTGTATGCAAGTGCCCTCTGCCTGTCACAGAATGTCACCCTGCGTCCTGAAGTAGACGTGAAGTGAACGGTGCTCACATATCTGGCCTCAATCGGATTCTGATTCCAGCTGCTGAACGGGAGTGAAAAAAGGCGGCACGATCGAGCGGGCGACAAGACGTCGTAGTTGTTCTATTAGAGGCGCTGAAAAACGCTTCCGATAAGGTGAAGTGTGCGTCAGGAAAGATTTGTAGTTTTTCATTTAAAACTGACAGGTTGGAGAAAGATTTGTAGTTTTTCATTTAAAACTGACAGGTTGGAGATCGGGACAGCACAAAGCGTCAGTCGTGCGAGTTCGGGCAACCTGAACGACTTCGAGGTATCCACGAGCTAAATACGTCCACAGTTCTAGCAGTGCTTTCAAATGAGCTGGTGTTGTCGATTTGTTTAGCGAAGTCAATGGTAAATGGGTGAGGTCGACCGCGTGCTTGAAAAAGATATACGAGCGAGGAATGAACACACGTGATGTATTTTGCAACAACAAGGCGCTAGCTGCTAATCTAGAGCGATTGATGTGTTCAGTCGCCAAGTTCAACGGCACCATGTGACCAGAAATGGAAGCTTAGTGTGCGGTAGTTCAAGGACGAAGGAGGGCGCACCGACATATCCAGAGGTTTACTAAATGAGGACGACAAGCTGACAGGTTCGCGAAACACAATGGGAACCAGATTTGCAACGTGGAAGATCCTGACAAACGAAGGACGTACCGCGAGACCGTACCTAACGCCGGTCAAGTTTCATGCTCTATGAAACGGATTGACGACGAGCGCTGCTCTTTCGAATGGACATAAGTAGGCTGCTGATGTCCATTGAGTTGTCCACCGCACGTCGAGATCGAAAAATAACAACCGATGCGTCGATCATGAGAATAAAGACCGTGTCATGTAAATCAGCTATTACACTGCTGCAACGAATGTGAATAGCAATTTTTGGATCCGAGGGAACTTCAGGGCAGGCATTCGGCTCTTTTCTACGAGTGACGATTTCATACTAGCCACGACAAGACGTGATGCATTTCAAGCTTGTCCTGTTTAATAGCGGTAACATAATCCACAATACCTCTATTTTCTTTTCATGTCATGACCTCCTCATTCGACCTCACCCCAGGAACGCTGAACTTGCTAAGTCTAGGTAATGTCAATCCCTTAGCTGAGAAGCGAAAAGATGGGCTGCGTTTCATCTCAAAAGGGCTTCGGTCCCGGTGAATAAGAAGACACGTTGGATTGAGTCATGAACGTTGCATGCTACATACGTATGTTTTACAATAAGCACCGCCACAGGCGACAGTTGTATCGTGTCCGACTTTATATGATGTCAACATAAGCACTCGGTGTTGATGCGTCACGTTTAGTACGCAAGCATAAAGCTTCTTATCGTCGTGCGCAAGTGCCAGGCACAAACGAGGCCGTGCATCCTGGCAAACTTAGACCGTAACGGTCCAACAGTCGAAAAAAAGCCGCAAGTTGTGGTGGTTCATCCTGATATTGGCCTAAGTTCGCTGACCCATCGTTCATACAATCAAAGACTTTATGTATCCAAGCTGTTCGCGGCGCCGATCGACATACTCCAACACCGGTGCTGGATGACGACGAAGAAAACATATTGAAGTCATGATCAAAAGACAACAATCGTAAAGCGCTGAAAAAAGAGAATGGCACAGTACGAGTCCTTGGCAACATACATCGTCTGGGTGAGGAGGACAAGTCAACTAATGGGCGCGATGATTCGAGGCAGAAAAGCATCATCGATTTCAGTAGACGTACGAACCAGCTAAACCGACGTATCGAGAGGGTTTCTTGCCAATTAGAACGTGTTCAGTTGCTGACTGTGTCAGAATTGTCGTATTCGTATGCCACGGAATAGATCTGCCAACTCAGAAATAATCAGTCAGAGAGATACTTCTCTTTGATCACGTACTAAGGCTCGCTACTCGAATCGCCAGTATCCAAAACGTCGGGTAAACATCGAAAACAGGAGAATGAGAAACAACTATACGTAGAATTAATTTCGAAGGAGCGGCTCTATTAAGGCTATAGATGAGTGGTTCCTCCGAATTCATGTTGCGAATGGAAAAGAGAGACTGAATATATCGCTAAAAAAACAAATTGCGCATGTCATGGGCACACTCGTCCCATGCGTGCTAAAAGGAGTTTGCTTGGTAAATGGTACAACATTAGTACAACAGAGAAAGATTGCTGTGCCATAGTAGTTGTACATGGGCATAGTGGCGCGAGATTTGTCGGACTAACCAAAAAGTGGTGTGGTTCTGTCCCAATTGCCAAACTATCAGTTTTAAAAGAAAAACTACACCGCCGATAATGACTTAAAAGAAGTATTGACGTTCTAAAAGGAAGCATCTCCATCATTAACTCCCACATAGAATCAAGTCAGCTACGGGTGGGTGCGATAAGCGCCATTTTGGAAATCCGCTATGTACAGAACAAGCCGAAAGCAGACGCTACTACCTCACCTCAATTTGGAGGAGTGCGCACTGCATTGTCCAACCATATGTACGAGAAGAATTAGCAGTTTCGGTGGCTACTTACAAAAGCGCTTCGCGTCACATCCATCACTTCTCATTGTCGAGGTTAAGAAAGTTCAGGACATGCTTTTCGGGAGAGCCAACCCGATGGGTTTATCATTTTCTTTAAAATTATTTCAAAGCAATCAATCAGACCTCAATGTGCGGTCCAAAAAAATCGCAACCGTTCTCATGTACTTCCATAGACAATTGAAGATATGGCACAATACATGCGACTTCTTCTAACCAGGCCCGATCCACTTTTTTTAAGTAACATGATTTTATTGTTCTAGCACGTAAAGAAAATGTCGTCAGTTGCCGACGGAGTCTCACTCTTAAAGTGTCAGTTTGCGAGTACACCTTTATTTTCTGACAGCATCGTTCTCATTGTATCTTTTCTGTAATAAAGGTCGGTTGAGGCGGATGCCAATCCCGAAATAGAGAAATGTGGTTCCCATGGTTAACGATGATCGCTCAAGTTTAATGCACCATCATGAGGCAGCTAATCAGGCGTATTTTGTACACTAAAGAGCGCGTTTATCATGATTTAGTGTTCTAAAGAATTTCTGGGATCGATCTGCCAGCGGTCGAATCAGGGTAAACAAGCGGTCATGCTGGTAGAAAAAAAAGACAGTTTTGCGATCTAAAAAAAATTGGCACCAAAACAAATTTAGTGAAACTATAGAAATTAAAGTATGCGGATGTAGCAAAACAGAGGGCGCTGGCGGATAGTAAAGAATTCAAATAAAACAAAACTGTACCAGAGCCCTCGGTCACGTAGCTACTGTATGCTACCAGATCTGTCGATATTTTGCCGTAAGCTCAATAGTCAGGTGGAACTTACTTGTTCGGATCACTCTGACGCCATGGACGATTTTTATAAAGGATCATTTCCACGAAGTCACGGCACGTGATGTGATTAGCCGGTGCTTTCGGATTCGGGCAAGCATCGAGCATTATTCTCAAAAAAAGTAGGGCATGCGTATTCAACGCTCAGCTCCTTTTGTTCCATATCAATGGTCGGAACGCGGTGGAAAAGAGTCGAGATGATGTTATGTGTGAGCAAACCCAGCGTTTCACCCGCTAATGCAGACAAATGGAGTCGAGTGGCACTGTCCTCCACATCAACACAAACTTTTCGCTCCAGAATTTACATCTGCAGCCCGGGTACATTTACCCAAAGGTGACACCGCTACAAGACCGATGTCAGCGTGCACGCACACAAGTCATCACTCTGGTCATCCTTTGAAAATATCCGGTCTTTGTAACGGGGCACCCTGAAGCTTGTACTGGTGACAGTACAAGCTACTTATTCTGATGACAGAATAAGGCGGTGCCTCGTAACTTCACGTACACTCGTACGTGCAGAGGAAGACGGTAAGAAGAAGCGAGTACTTGGTTAAAGTAAAAAGTAGAACTGTATTTATAATAGTTAATGTCTGCAATAAATCACTATTTATCTTCATCTAACTATGTCTAAATACAAATGTGTAAATCAGTTATCTGCTCACCACTCATTGCGTGCGTCTGTCGTGGCGCGTCTTCGTTGGTTGATATAATGGCCTATATCAACCAATTAGAAACTACTTGTAAGTGCTACAGAATATTTGTCCTTATGACAATATTCTGAGAATATAACTCTTATAATTATATTCTATTAACAATTTCTTATAAATTGTTATGTAACGATTCACCCCGTTACATCACCCCCCCCTTAACCATCAGTTACTTTAGTGAATGATTGACTAAATGGATACTCGTCCCAAATCATTTGGGACAGGGTTTGCACTTGTTGGTCCTAGTCCACTTCCCAACATTTCATCGCATGGTAAACAAGCCCATGCGATGCGCGAGCAAGGCCGCCGAGAGCGCGTCTGCACGTCTCTGTGCGGACGCCGAAGCAGAAACAACAGCAACTGATGTCTCATCGGTTGCTGAAGCGACCCAGCCTGTGTCACTTGGTGATGCAGGCGCTGGTCATGAAGACACTCGTGTCTTCACAGAGTACGAGCTCGG